AAACCCGAATTTCTTACTTGAACAGTCGAGCGAGATATTGCACTCCACTTATCGTACGTACCCCTGTTGTTCTCAGTCCAAACACCATAATCCATTCTGCAAAGCAAAGATCATTAAAACAACACACAATTTGGAAAAAAAAAAAGGGGGTTCAGTTCAAAAGACTATGTTTCATAATCATACCCAACGACAAAGAAGGAATAACCGTCAAGGTGAAAAGTCTGCAAGACTGTATCATTGTTCTGCAAAACGATCTCGATAAAACCCTTATAAGTAGCATTGATGATCGACCTGTCCAAAACAGGTGTTGTCCTGTTGAGGGGCATAACCGGAAAATCGAGCTTGTAAGCGCCTTTCACTTTATACCAATCGGCAAGCCTAAAGGGCGTCTCGGGTTTCGCAAACGATATTCCGTTATACGCTGCTCGCAATTTTCCTTCGATCAAAGTTGGCCCCACACTTTGGAGAATATACGTATCCGTCACGTTTATTTCACCGTAATGAAACGAGCCCTGAGCATTCGGACGGGCCCCACTCGCACTCCCGTTTAGCCTGATTTAATGTATAGTTTGTTTAACATTGTAAAATCAATTAAATCGAATGTAAACACTGTAAAAAAAAATAAAAATAAAGAACTTCACCGCACTTGATGGACTTGGCCTGGCCCATTGAAAATGATTTGTCGTATTCATCATTAGGGCCATCGGGGAGTGGGCCCACTGGCAATGTACTCGAGTTTGAATAACGCAAAATAGCCACACCATTAAGTGATTGGTTTGTGAACCGGGAACTAGCCACGATATAGAAGGCACTGCTCGAGTTCTGGTCCATTGTGACGAGAAAGGAGAAAGACTGGCCCACGTGAATGTCCATGTTCGTATAATTCTGCTGTAATGTATAATAGCCCTCGGTTTCGACCAGCAGCATACTATGGTTCTGAATTCGGAAGTTCAGAGAAGTCGAGACCCCGACATTGTGGACCCGAAATCTGTAAGTCTTGCCTAAAATAATGACCCAAAAAAAAAAAAATAACCAAGAAATAAATAAATAAATTGAACACTCAACTAACCCAGTTTACTGAATTACAACAAAAAATCTTACCCCTTTCCACATTAATAGTTTCGTATGCATTCTCATCCTGAGCCGTGTTGTTGTAATTATAAGGTCCTTTTCCATTGATCAAAATCCCATCTGGAGGATTCAAAGCTTGTCCATGGTCGAGGGTCGTTCGAAGGGCCTATTGTTTCAAAATCGACAAATGTGAAAAAATGAAGTCGAAAATGAGAAAAAAAAAACAAAAAATGGCCACCGTGCTAGAAAATAAGTACCGTGTGGCCGCCAGTATACCAGTCACCAATCATGAGGATTATATCATCAGCAGGAAGATCAAATGGCAAGGGAATAACTGAACGGTTGTTAACTATAATAGAGCCAAATCCACCAGAAGCTCTCTGCATATTCAGTGATGGGAAATAATAGAAGCTACCAATTTGATCCTTGACCTGAAACTGGTAAGTCCAGTTCCAATTTGGTGGAATGGGGCAATTCGTGCCCAAAACTCCGTCTTGCCAAGCAGTTTTGCGCATTTGGATACCAGACCTACCACAAAAACAGCATTAATCATATATTCTAGAGAAAAAAGAAATGAACAAATAAACAAGAAAAAGGGAAAAGATTTTATAGACTAGAAAATAAATATACCATGTGATTAGGAGGTCCTCATCCAGATTGTTCTTCACATTCACCACAACATTGTAATTAGTTGTTACGTTGATAACGGGGCCTGGAAATTTCTTGTTGATTGCAATAACCTGGAAAAATAAAAGGGTATGAATTTTAACATTCTGCAAATGCGGAAAACCCAGTTAAGGGGAAAACATCAATTACGATCATCACTTTCGTTGGGATTAGAGATCTTCATTTTTTAATGAAGAACATAAAAAAATGGCCAATTTGAGCCAGGGTTAGAAATAGGGAAAGCAATAGCACGTGTTAGTGGGAATTGAAATTTTAATATTAATGCAAAGAAAAATCCAAAACCAAACATGTTCATAAATGGAAATACATCAACCAAAATATCCTGTGTTGGGTTCGCTACTCTAACGTCCTGAACAAAAGAAAAATACAGAGTATCGTGTGATTACGCCAGTTCAGAAAGGTATACATGAACAACTGAGATTCTTCAGCAACTTTCCAATAAATTGTCGCCTTTTACAGCACACAGCCAAACGAAAACGGCGGAAAAAACAATTACAGGGCACTCAAGAATCAATGCTGTTAAGGCTTACGCTTCAAACACAAAAGTCATGTACAAAGCCAAAATAAAATAAAATAAAATAAATGCAATATTTAAACAGAAAGACATCCAATCGAGAAAATAACTACACCGGAAAGAAGTCATATATCCACCCGACAAACAAAGTCCATAATTTCCTCGTTCCCATTTCAGAACAAAAGATCAAGAACTAAACCAAACCATTCTTAAAATCCATCAACATAATGAAGAAATGTAAGGGAAGGAAAATCGTGTCACCTGCTGAGGTTGACCAAGTGGCGAGACCGTAATGTAAGAGACGTCGAAATCAAAGAAGGCAAATGGGTCCGCACCCAAACACACCCCCAGCAACAGAGCAACCGAAAGGCAATGTAATAACACCCACAATCTCCCCATTCACAATTTCCGACTTGATAACAGAAAAAGAAACAAAAGATTCTTAAAGAACCTAAAACCCACTACAAGAATGATTCGATGATTCGATCTGCTGCTCAAAAATCTCTCTGCGACGAGAAAAAACAAATTTTGGCACTTGAACGGACACAGAGAGTGAAAGAACGAGTATCAGCGTTCGCCGCTTTAGAACTGTGAGGGCGAAAGGATAAAGAGATGAAAAGGGGCGACTGAATGGGGTGTTGTGGTACACGCGTTGGCGCTTACTGCAACTATATTTATGTGTGTATATATCGCCCTAAGGCCTAAACGTAACGCGGCCATTTTTAATTTCTTTATACTCTCTCTCTCTTCTCTGCAAATTGGTGGCGTGATGTGCGTTTCTCTTTACCAGCGACTTGTTAAACCGGTTGAGTTTTTTTGTCTGGTCTTGANATATATTGACTTGAAACTTGAGGCAACTCTTATTTTCCCTTCTTTTTCATAAATTTAACCTAACCTATGCAATGAACCCAAACAAATGACGTTAAAATTGGACTAGCATTATAATTTAGGTAGTCAATCAATGTTTTCCATCCTAATAATACAAAAGAAAAAGAAACACGAATAATTAGATAATAGTGTTTGTCTAACTTATAAACAATATAGATATACATTCAAGTGGTGTTTAACAAGCCTTAATTATATAGTTATTTTTTTAATAAACATGTATACTTTTAAATAAGAATATGACATCTTATAATTGTACAAACTGGAAATAGTACCAACAATATTATGACACAAGCATGTCACCTCAATATAAATACTAACAAAAAAACACTTTGTCAATGAAATTTTGTATCACTTTTGTTACTCCTAGCTATATACCATGACATTATTCTTGATTTACTTGTCACAACTTATATTAATTAGGGTAATAATATATGATGGTGAAAAAAAATGACGAGATAATTATAATTTGGGATAAGAATAACAAAAAAAAGTTCACTTTATTTTTTCAGTATAACTAAATTTTGTGGAATGAGATACATAAATTANAACGTCCCTTAAGAAAATTAATGAAATTGCAATAAATGTTTTAAAACGGTTATTTAGGAAAATTTTCAATCCGGAAAATCTTGTTTAGTGCGGTTGTCTTCCATATTTCCATTTATAAGTTTGGAGAGCGACCGGCTATAGCCGGTCAATGTCCACTATTTTTTTCTTTGAGACCCGCCAGCGTGTTCAGATTTTGTGCAACGCTTTCACATGCGATCGGAAGGGTCCCGCAGCCTCACCGGAGTATTGGGTCCCGCGGACAAAAGGTGAATTAAAAATAAAATTTTCCACTTCACTTTAAAAAATTAAGAATGAACAATGGGAATTCGTTATTATATTGATGTGTTTTAATTTATTTTTATATTTGTTTTTAATGTGATTTATATTGGCATACAAAATCCGACTTGCGATATGGTTATATGTCTTTGATGTAGACATGACCAAATCCGGTTGCCGGTAGGAACCGCCGGGTAAGAGTAGGAAACGTTGGGTCCGGTCCAAAGATTCGTCGGCCCTGAATTGGCCCGAACATATGTACGGGCTGGTTCAACGAACCTACGATTAAGGTTAGTCCGATTCATTACAAAAATAAAAAAAAAATCAAAATATAA